GGGTGAGGGCTAGGAGAAAAAAAGTCTACTTTTAGAAAGGTGTGTCTAAAATCTCTTATCTATGAAACTAGTGTGAGAACATTCCAAAAAGTGAATGAGTCTTATTAGACATGGTGTATTTATAGGTGTGGCTTTCTAGAATGATGGCTTGATCCATCTACATGTTCAGAGTTACAGGTCTAGATACCAAGTACAAAACCAAAAAGAAAACACATTTAAGGTTTAACAGCATTGACAGCCTAGCCATATAAAGAGAAAGGTAGGAAAAGAGACTTCTTATTAGGACATTGGGGCCCTTGAACATAAGCACCCCCTTTGTAGAAGAGTTCATGCATAGAAATGGCAGGAAGAGCCTTCCAGAAGATGACAGAAAAGATTAGGACAAAATGTCTAGAAATAGTGAGGGGCATGATACAGAACTGGGAAGGAAAGATGGGGACAATACTTGTCTTTTTGTTTTTGTTTTTTTGGTTGGTCATGGGACTTGAACTCTGGGCCTGGGTGCTGTCCCTGAGCTCTTCAGCTCAAGGCTTGGGCTCTGCCACTTGAGCCACAGCGCCACTTCTGGTTTTCTGGTGGTTAATTGGAAATAAAAGTCTCATGGACTTTCCTGCCCTGGCTGGCTTTGAACCGTGATCCTCAGATGTCAGCCTCCTGAGTAGCTAGGATGACAGGTGTGAGCCACGGGAGCCCAGCTGACAATACGGTTTTAATCCAGTCAATTAAGAAAATCCCCTCCTGGTCTGTTGCTATCCTGACTTGGATCTGTATAGAGTGCCACTGTTTACTACTTCATAAAATCATAATTTCTAACTTTCTGAGTTCTGATTTTGATATGTCCCATTGTTGGATATTATGCTTGGAATAGAAAACACAGCCTTCATGTCTACAAAGCTGTCCTTTGCTGTATGACATGTAAGTAAGCCCTTTATAAACAGACAGTACCCTTTGATTTCTCGTCTGTCTCATCCTGAGTTTCTGTTCTTGTTTAATAGCTTGCCACTTGAACCAGAAATTTTGGAGATTTTAGTATATCTTGCTACATACATAGCAAGTTACTAAAAAAAAAATAGATTGAAAGAAAAACTTATAAATAATGATTGTCTCACATGGTTTCTGAGAGTGGGAATTTAAGAGCAGCTTGCCTGGGTGATCTGTCCTCAGAATCTTGTGAGGTTGCAGTCAAGCAGTCAGCTGGTCCAGCAGGCATCTCAAGGCTTGACTGGAGGTAGAAAATCCTCTTCCCCATTGACTTACATGGTTGTTGCAGGATCAGTTTTTCACTGTCTGATGTCCAAAGTCTCCATTCCTCACTACTTGGCTTCCCCCTAGGTTGCCTGTGTATTATCACACATGGCTGGATTGCCTCAGAGCAAAAAGTAAGAAGGAGGGTGAGAGAAGAAAAAAATCAGGAAACTTTTTACATTCTTATCTCAGAAGTGACATCTACCACATCTATATCCTATTGGGCACAGAGACCAACCCAGTACAGCATAGAGGGAACTACACAATTAGAATGATGTGAGCAGCAGGAGGTCATTGGGGGACCAGCTTTGAAGCTGACTACCTCAAAGAAATCTTTTTTTTTTTTTTTTTTTTTTGATGCCAATACTGGGGCTTGAACACAGGGCTTAAGCGCTGTCCCTTAATTGTTTTTGTTTTTTGTTTTTTTTGCTCAAGGCTAGCATTCAACCACTTGAGTCACAGCTCCACTTGTAGCTTTTTGGTAGTTAATTAGAGCTAAGAGTGTCACAGACTTTCCTGTCTGGGCTGGCTTTGAACCCAATCGTCATATCTCAGCCTCCTAAGTAGTTAGCAGGTGTGAGCCATTAACACCTGGCAAGATGTCTTCTTTTCCTTCTTCCCGTTCTACACTTACTAAATCACTTACTAAGTCCTTTGAATTCTGCCTCATTGGATCTCTTTAGTATGACTTCATCTCAAAGCTAATGGATTATGCAGGGAAGAACTAGGGAGGCTGATGGAGGAAGTCTTGGGACCCTATATCTAAGCCCATGGATATAGTACATAATGATATGCTGGCATGGCTCCAAACCAACATTGGAAGGAGAAAAAGAACAACATCTTGGCAAGCTTGTCATTTGGCTGTGTAGAGGAGGAAACTTTGTCACACCAGACTCACCCAAGGCAAATGAGGTGCTGCAAGCACACACACTTTCAGTAGTGTCCTAAGCACCAGAGTGTAGCATGCAATCAGTCCTTGTTCATGAGGCAGACATCTTAGGAGAACTCTAGAGCAAGGGCTTTTCACTTCCCTGTAAATAGCATAAACAGATTGAACTCCACGAGTGTAGTAGATTGGAAATGGCTTCCTGGAGGTCTTTAATAAGAAAAATTGGAGATCTCTTCTGTTTCTGTGAGAAAGAAAACATCTTCCCTCAGCATCTTCCATTGTCAGGGAAAGCAAGAGTCACCTTGCCATTTGGCCAATGGAAATTCCTGCCCTTTTCCTACTAATTTTCCTTCTTGGGATTCTCTACACGATGGGATTTTTTTTTTTAAATGATGCAATACCTACTAGGTAGAATTTTCTGACTTAGAAATACCTTGGCTCCACCTAGGAATAATTTGAGCTGCTATGGGATCCCTCCCCTCCCTTTACCACCATCCTAGTGAGCATGCTGCTGTCCTTGCTAGGTCCTTGAACAGCCTAAGGCTGGGTAGTTAACTGAGGTTAAGTCAATTAGCCAAGGATCCATGGGGAACAGTGTAGACACTCAGAATTTGAAATTGATTGGTGGGAAGTCTGGGCCTTGTATGTAGTTTTTCTCTTTATTCATACATCTATATACTTGAGATATAGAGCCATAGACTTAGGACCAGAAGAGACAATAATTGTCATCTACCTCCTTCCCATTTAACCCCATTGTATCGTGACACGGAGAGCTAAAAGGTTTCTCTCAAAGTTATTTAATGAGTTGGCAAGCCTGCTAGGACTAATGTATTCTGACTTTCTGATTTTCTTTCTCTGTCTCATAAAAAACTTGTGAAATATCATGACATATGTTTGTAGGATAAGTGTACTGCAACTATGTTTATCTTAAGATCTACTTTCTGCTCTTGCTGGGATCTCTGGATCTTCAAGGAATTTTATTTCCCAGGCTCTCTTCTGCTGACTTCTAGCTAGGTTTGGCTGACAGGGAGCATTGGAGGAAGAGTTGAGAGCAGGAGCTGGTAAGAAACTCTCCTCGCTTCCTTTGGCAGTTTCAGTATAACAGTCTCCAATGTGATTCTAGCTCCTACTGCATAGTCCCCTTGTGATATTGGCTTCTGCCAGACCATCCCTGCCTCTGACCCAGTAACACTAACTAGCTCCTTCAACCTTAGGCATCAAAGCTAACTTGTACTTATCTCTAGGTTGCCTGCTGTCAGCTCTCCTATGATTTGTATAATTAGGTCCTGTATAAATCGATTTCTTGGCTCTCTTATCATTTGTATAATTAGTACGTATATAAATTACCTCTTTATTAAGACCCAGTGTTGGGCTGGGATGTAGCTCAGGGGCAAAGCACTTGCCTAGCAAGTGCAACGTCCTGGGTTCGATCCCAGTACCAAAAAAGAAAAGACAAAAAAACATACAGTTTTTTTTTTTTAAAGACCCAGTGTTTTCTCTTTTCCTTACTGGACCCTGACTGATAGAGTAAAGCCATCACTCTTGTATTCTTGCATAATGTGGGAACAAATTGACCATTGAGTTATAATGTTAATGAAAAAAGGAAAAAGCAGCTGAACTACGGTGGCTCAGACTCAGGAGGCTGAAATCTGAGGAGCAAGATTCTAAGCCAGCCCTGGGAAAAGTCTGTGAGATGCTTATCTCCAGAAAATTGGAAATACAGATACTAACTCAGGTTTTATAGTGCCAGCCTTGAGTTAAAAGCTAAGGAAGAGTGCAAGCCCTGTGTTCAAGCCCCAGGACTGGCACAAAAAGATGAAAAGCAGTTTTTCACAAGAAGTAGCACTCATCTCCATTTCACTGATTAAATGACATATTTGTAATTAACTCTGAAAAATAAAGAATAGAAACATATTCTTCAGATGTTTTTCTAAGGAATCAGCCTGTGCTTTTTTTACTCTGTGGTTCCAAAAGAACGAATTCCTTTGATTTTGTGGGTCTTGTTCATTTGTCAACTGTGACAATGATGGAAGGATTTTCTTGGTTGAGAATATCTATCTATCTATCTATCTATCTATCTATCTATCTATCTGTCTGTCTGTCTGTCTGTCTGTCTGTCTGTCTGTCTGTCTGTCTGTCTGTCTGTCTGTCTGTCTGTCTGTCTATCTATCTAGATAAGTTGTGGCACAGTGAGGCCTAAAGCTATGCAGTTGGTTTCGTATACTTGCTTTGGTAATTGTAACGTACTTGGCCTTCCCGTCACAAGCCTGGTTGTTGTGACCTGCAGTGCTGTTTGTATGCCAACCCCTGTTCTTGGCCTCCACACAAGGATTCCCACAAGGGTTCCATTTTAGAAGGTGGTTTCCAAGATTGGGGGTATCTGACCGCCAGCACTGGATTTGAGACCACCAGCTTGTTTTTCCAAACATTAATATCTCAATGATCTCCAAACATATTTTCTTTTCCAGAATACTTTCCAAAAAGTTTGTAAGAATGTCTCAAAACTTTTTTTTCTTTTGAAGGCACAAGGGCCTAAGGGGAGGGGGCAAGGGTAATATAAATTATAACTTGGCAGACTAGTATTTAAAACTTGATCCAATTTTTTTTCCTCTTAAAAAAAAACACCTTAAAAAAACACCTCTTTACATATTTAAGTAATTCATTTGGGAGAAATAACCACTGGACTATTCACATAGCTAGCCCCTTGGCAGTCTTGGTTGAATATGCTTTGAAACCAGACAACTGATAAAGCCTCAAATGTTTTCACTTTGAAAGTTCAACTTAACCTTCCCTACTATGGTGGTGAGAAAAGTGACAACTCATTTTAAAGATGCTCCTTCTTTGTGTCTTTGTCTTTCTTCTGCAGGCCATGTGTTTATACTATGGGATCTCCCATAAACAACAGGGCCCTTTTTCCATGCCAGGAGCCACCCGTTGCCATGTCAACATGGCAGGCTACAATTCGAGCAGCTGCATCTTTTGTTGTTTTAATGAGTGGAGAAAATTTTGCCAAACCAACCCTGCTTCAGGAAGGTACTGTACATGTGTTCTTTGCTTATTTATGTATTGCACACATGCTGGACCCAGGAACCCAATAAGCAGTGTTTTTCTAAACTTTAAAGAGCTGCTTTATTAGTTGAGTTGGAAATGAACATACTATAAAACATCCTGCCAGAGAAAACAAGCAGGGGATGAGGAGGGGCATTTGGGGATCTGGGCATGGAATTTAGAGTTCTTCATGCTAGAGTTATCAATTCATAGATTATTTTAGCAGTTAACTTTTACCTGATGGTTTGTGGGCCATAAGTGGGTGGTCTTGGGCGAAGACTTTCTAGTCAGGCAAGTGTGTCATGGAAATACCATTATGGTTGAATTATCTGTGGTTTGGTCATGGAGTCTATACTTGGTTGTTCACTATATTGAAAGATAGCACTCAAGCTGGCCAGCCCACTAGGGCTGTACTGGTAACGGATGTGTTCTGTACACATTTCCTACATGAAATTCTGAACCAAAAGTATATTAAGAAGGTAGAAGGCAAGTACTAATTATAATGAAGGTTAACACTTTTGAGTGAGATCCGAAGTATATTGATAACAGGTAAAATTTTTCAGTTGAAGTATTTCCTCACTTAAAATATAATGACTCCTTTTACATGTGTTATAGGAACTTTAAAATACACAGAAAAGTAAAAATAAGCTGGGTGCCCATGGCTCATGCCTGTAATCCGAGCTACTCAGGAGGCTGAGATATGAGGATCGTGGTTCAAAGCCAGCCCAGGCAGAAAAGTCCGTGAGACTCTTATCTCCAATAAACCACTAGAAAACTGGAAGTGGCACTGTGGCTCAAGTGGTAGAGTGCTCTCCTTGAGCTGAAGAGCTGAGAGACAGTGCCCAAGCCCAGAGTTCAAGCCCCACGACCGACCAAAAAGAAAAAAGAAAAGCAAAAATAATGCTCCTATTTTGTTTCATTTCCCTCCTATATTAGGAGTTATTTAAAATTATCCTTGTAACATGCAACAGTGTTTATTCTGTTTTTTTTTTCCTACACTCATGGCATATGTTGAACATATTTTAGGTTATTAACTATTTAAAAATATAATTTTAGGCTGGGCACTGGTCGCTCACGCCTGTAATCTTAGCTACTCAGGAGACTGAGATCTGAGGATAACAGTTCAAAGCCAGCCCGGGCAAGGAAAGTCTGTGAGACTCATATCTCCAATAAACCACTAGGAAACTGGAAGTGGTGCTGTGTGGCTCAAGTGGTAGAGCACTTGCCTTGAGCTGAAGAGCTGAGGGACAGCGCCCAGGCCCAGAGTTCAAGCCCCATAACCAGCCAAAAAAAAAAAAAAGTATATATATAATTTTAGGGTTACCATACTATTTTGTTGTGTGATTATGTCAATTCATTTAACATTTCTTTATTGGTAAATATTTTTACTATTTGCAGGTTTCTTCTAGGTGTAAAGCTGTGTTAAGTTTTTGTGGAGACACTTTCTACTGAATCTGAAGTTCAAACATGTTTAAGGCAATCTTTACATAGTCTGTATTATTTTCCAGAAAGATTGTACTAACTTATCTATCCATCAGTAATTACAAGGGTCTTTATTTCTTGGAATTTTCCTTATCAGGCAGGAATCTCTATTTATTTTGGATTACTTTGGTTATCAGGGTGTTTCATGTTTCTTAGCCATTTTACCTTTTTATCTGTTCATTTCCTTTGCCAGTTTTTGACCTGAGGACACTGGTTTTCAAAAAGTTTGTCTGTTTTTGATTTGGTTGGCTCTTAAAAAAATGAAGATGTTAAACTCTTACCATATTTGAACATAGATTTTTTTTTTCTGAGTTAGTGTGCCTTTTCATTTTAGATGATGTTTCTGGTCAATAAAAGATTTAAATTTTTAGAAGATTAAAATTGATCAGATTTCTCTTGGAATCTTTGCTTAAAATTTACCTACTTTTTAATATTTTATTATTTTAATATTTAGATATTTAATACTTCAAGCTTATATTTCATAATTTAACTCTCTACTTTCTATAGTTTATTCTCAACAGGATTTATAAAGTAAGAACTAAATATTACCTTTTTCCCCCAAGTAGAGAACCAACTACTTTAAGATAATTTATTGTATGTCTTCAGATTTGTGGCATTGTCTTTATCTTATGTTAGATTTGCATAAGAATAAAAGTCTTGAAGCAACATTTATTTGATTCTTAAACTACACAGAGAACAAAGCAAACAATACACGTAAAAATTTTATTTTTAAAAATAGCTCATTTACAATACAGTTTCCTTGTTATTCCTATTTCCAAGCTACCAACAGTTCTCTGCCTAAGGCAACCAAGGTTACCATTTTCATTTGTATGTTTGCCTCTTTTGTTGCATAAATTTATGCATATTTTTACATTGAACTTTCCTCTTTAGAACAAATTTATTTTATGGATATTTCATATAAGAGCATAAACAGCTTCCTTAATATTTGAAAGACAAATGTGTTTCATAAACGGACGTTTCACAATTTAGTTAGCTCTGGACCTCACTCCCTATTAAGTAAATAAAATAAAATCTGAATGTGAGCTCATTATCTCTGTATATTGCTTTTGTATTATATCTTCAAGGAATTACTATTATTCTTTTACATTATATTCCATTTCATATCGTATTTGTAATAAGCATTTAGACCTTCATTTTTGAGTTTAAGAAAAGGCTTTTATTTATTTATTTTTTCTAGAAGAGTGAATTTAAGGTATTTTTTCTGAATCCCTTAGATTGGCTTTCACTAATCTTCACTTACAAAGAATTCTTGAGGAAGTATATACTTGTATTAATTATTTAATTCATTCATTTAAGACAAGTTCGTACTACATTAGCCCTACATGGCCTTGAACTCATGATTCTTTTGCCTCAGCCTTCAGAGTGCTGGGATTGTAGATGGGTGCTACCATGTCCAGCTGATATAAATTTAAGTCACTTTCTTTAATAACTATAAATGTTATGACTATCAGCTCTAATTTAGTATCTCTGAAGGGAAATTTGATATGAGGGCTTAAAAAATTATGTTCAAGGGCTGGGAAGGTGGCTCAGTGGTAGAGTGCTTGCCTCGCATGCATGAATCCCTGGGTTTGATTCCTGAGCACCACATAAACAGAAAAAGCCGGAAGGGGTGCTGTGGCCCAGTGGTAGAGTGCTAGCCTTGAGCTGAAGAACTGCCCAGGCCCAGAGTTCAAGACCCATGACTGACAAAAAATATATATTTTTTCAAGTAGTCTGCTCTTGATGCATTGGATATGCATACTTTTAAAAAATTATGTAATTCAGGACTTTACAACAAATCTAGATGTGATGCCTTTCAGTCAGCTTGGCTACAGTATAATTTATATAGTTAGTAAATACATTTAAAATGAGATTTGATGTATATAATCTATATAATTAATTAACACTATTAATTAAGATATAGAACATTTCTATATCTTTCTATACTTCCTTATTCTTTTCAGTCACCACTGATATAATTTCAGTCCCTCTAGATTAGTTTTTCTTCTTCTAAAACTTGACAAAGATGAAATAATTTAGTATATACTCTTTTGTGTCTGCTTTGTTTTACCTGGCATGATGTTTGTGAGATTCATCCACATTACTGCAGGTTATCTATATCATATTCTTCTTTCAAAAAGTTGGTGAATAGTGGATCATTATATGAATAAGACCACAGTTTATCTACTTACCTATTTGTAGGCATTTGGATTGTTTTGACTATTTTGAAAAATATGCCATGAACACTTATGTATAAGACTTTTTGTAGATCTGGTTTTCATTTATCTTGGGTAAATACCTAAGAGTGGAATTACTAGATCATATGATAAAATATAAGTTTAAATTTCTAAACTTAACCTTGTGGTGTGATATCTGCCAAACCATATCCAAAGTGGTTTTTTTCATTTTATATTCCTACAAGTAATGTAGACAGGTCTATTGTTGCTCATGTTTGTAAGCACTTAGTAGTGTCAGTCCTTTGAATATGAGTCTTCCAACTAAGTGTGAAATAATTATCTTATTTTGGTTTTTGATTTTCATTTCTCTGATAACTAATGATGTTGAGTACTTTTTCATGTACTTATTGAATATTCTTATATTTTCCTTTGAGCAACATCTCTTTTAAATCATTTGTTTCTGATGTGGGCCCTTTTAGATGCCAATGGATATCCCTAAAGAATGTAAGAATGCTTTATATAATACTCTAGATAAATATATTACAAATAAATACTTCCACTCTGTGTGGCTTGCCTATCTATCTATCTATCTATCTATCTATCTATCTATTGATGGATCTATCTATTTTTGTCAGTCATGGGCCTGGGCTGAACTCTGGGCCTGGGCACCCTCAGCTCTTCAGCTCAAGGCTAGTGCTCTACCACTTGAGCCACAGCTCCACTTCCAGCTTTTTCTGCTTATGTAGTGCTAAGGAATGTAACCCAGGACCTCATATATGCAAGACAAGCACTCTACCTCTGAGCCACCTTCTCAGCCTGCCTTATTTTTTATTTGTTTGTGTGTGTGTGTGTGTGTTTACAGTGCTGGGGACCAAACCTAGGGCTTTGTTATATGCTTGGCCCTCTACCAGTGAGCTACATCCTGTGCCTTAATTATTCTGTATACCACTGATTGTAGTGACATTTTTTGTTCTTTATTAATTACATTAGAGTTAAATTATGATATGGTAACATTTCAATCCTTCATTTTAGAAAATCTTGGTTGTTTCATTATTTCAGTCTGCTATCTTCTTGTAATTTTTTTTTTTGGGGGGGGGGTCCAGTCGTGGGGCCTGAACTCTGGGCCTGAGCGCTATCCCTCAGCTCTTCAGCTCAAGGCTAGTGCTCTACCACATGAGCCACAGCGCCACTTCTGGGTTTTTTTCTTTTTGCTTATGTGGTGCTGAGGAATCAAACCCAGGGCCTCAGGCATGCAAGGCAAGCGCTCTACCACTGAGCCACTTTCCCAGCCCTCTTCTTGTAATTTTTTATTACTATTATTTTATA